AGACTAATCTGATTCGAGCTCAAAACTACATGAAGTTACAAGCAGACAAAAAGCGTAGAGATTTTCACTTGGAAGTTGGGGATCACATGCTCTTGTAAAGTTACAGCCGTATAGGCAACATTCAGTATCATTGAGAAGACATCAGAAGCTATGAATGCAATTTTTTGGACCCTTTCAAGTAGTGCAACATATTGGGACAGTGGCTTATGAATTGCAGTTGCCTAATTCAGCTCGTATACATCTAGTGTTTCACATTTCCTTGCTTAAAAAATTTCATGGCAGGTGCCTTTAGCAATACTTTCCATTACCCTTGCAAACTACAGAAGTAGGACCTATGCTGCAGCCAGTCAAGATTCTTAATTCACGTGTGATAGTGCATGATTTTAAGCAAATATATCAAGTTTTAGTGCAATGGAACTTAGGAGAATCTGAAGAAAGTACTTAGGAGGACACAAATGTGATTATGACTACTTATCCAAATTTCAACCTTGAGGGCAAGGTTGATTTAAAAGGAAAGGGTATTGTAACATGTAGAAACTCATACGCGAGAAAAGAAATAAAGGAGCCAAAGTTTGTTAGAGGAAATGGACACATGGCAAGCAATCAGGAAAACATGGGAGTGAGGAGAACCAATCGAATAAGGAGAAGAAGTGTATATTTAAGGGACTTCGAAGAATGAGGAAGACATACTTGTGGTATGAAAATTCCTTCTGAGCTATTCTTCTTTTCTCTGATTCCTTCGTTTTACCCTCTCTAATTCTTGAACTGTTTCTCTCTGATTCATCATTCTGCTTAGGTATAAAGTTCCAGTTCAAGATTTCTATTCTGTAGGACAAATCTATTTCTACATTAGAGTATTATAAATTGAAATTTTTCATTTTCGTATATTATTCTTGTTCGTTATGTAGGTAGGTTATATTTGTTACAATTGAACTTTGTTATAAAAATATTTTGCAATACTGCTTCAGTTTTTTTAAATAAACTTTAGTAACGATTATTTTAAATATTTTAAAAATACTTTTATTTTAAAAAAAATATTTTTCTTAAACATGTTTCTGCCATAAATTGCGATCATTCCGATTGCAACATTTATATATAAAAATGTTGAACCATATGAAGGAATTACAACTTCGAAGAGGAAGAGATATATTTTAATGAACCATGAGAAAATCATACAAAGAGACTTTGATTCCACGTTCAGGCCTAAAACCTTAAGGCATTAGGAAATGAATTCTTTTCACCTATATATTGCTTAAGGCCTTCGAATGTTAATAAAAATAAAATAAAATAACAGAGAAAAATAAAAAATAAAATAAATAAAGTTAATTCAATATACCAAGTTTAAAAGTGCATAACTTGATACGATAACAATTAAATAATAATTTGTTATATGACTTAACTTGAATACGCGAATTAATCCATATTTTTAAGTTTTGATCGGATCAAATTGATCATTATGCAGTTCGTGGGGTGGATATCAAGAACATGATCACTCATATTCTTTTGCAAGCGATGGTAAGAAAATAACCTCACATTTTTCAGAAGCCGTGACCAAGAAACTAATTATTGGGATAATCTTCAAATTCAACAAAGCATGTAGAGTTCTTTTCAACTGATCTATTCGATCGATTGATTATTATGAAAAGAGGAAACATAATAATAATTGAGAATTTTTTTAAAAAAAGACCCTAGTCTTGTCCATATGAAGCGTGTATTGTTAAAACAGTAGTTGTCAAACATGGCCAAATTATTCAAATATAAAGACAGAATCAATCATATGTAATATGTCAAAAGTACTGTGTAGTGTTGTCAACCTTGCACACTCAATTCCATTTATGTACAAAAAACACAAAGGGTTATCTTCCTTGAAACAAAGGAATATTAAGCAGGTTTTCAAGCTTTTTCCATGTTCCATTAGAAATGTGGAACACAGAATAATAGAAATTCAAAAGTTGTATTTGGACGGAAATATTTTTTAAATTCTAAAAAATATGAAAGCAATAATAAAAAATATTTAGAGCGTATTGAAGAAATTAAGAATGATGAATACAAAAAGTTAAGCTTAATAAGAAAGTTTTTAAAATTTTCTTATTTAACATAAAAATTATCTAATTAAAATTAATATTTCAAAATTATTTTTTACTATCTAAGAAGAATCAAAATCAAAATCAAAATCAAAATCAAAATCAAATCATGTTACTATATAGCGCATGCTTCTGTAAAACGTGGCCAGTAATTTTTCAAGGATCTAAAGAGGGAGTCAATGATAACATGTGATAACACAAAGCATGAGATGACCAGCGGCTATAAATTATATATTTATGAAATAATTAATCTTGTTTTTTATGTGCTAAAAATTCTTCCATGTGTGTGTGGAATCGTTTATTCGTTTTTTAATGTGATCAATCCATCACACGGAAAGCAATTGCTAGATTGTTAAACTATATTTAATTTTTTTAATTGGGTCTAAGAAAATATAATAAGAATAGATCATAATTTTTTATTAAAAATTATAGAATATCACAAAACCTAATTGATAATATTAAATATTATTTATTTATTATGGACTCTTGAACTATGTTAGAAAATTTTAACTATAATTATTGTTGAAGTTTGTGGGATATATTTCATTTGATTTTCCTATATATGTAGAATGCTTAGGTTCACAATTAAACAATATATATGGAGGGTCTTTTTTATGCATTGTCAAGTTATGTCAAATTATTTATTTCAAGGAGTTAGTATTATAATATTTGATTAACAAAAAACAAATTATTCATATAAAAGGATGAGTTTACACTAATAAAAACGATCCACTATATATTTACCACATGAATGTGTTAATAATATATGTTCTTTTTTTATATATAATAACAATTATTTATCATTATGATGCATCATACTGTTAGTACTCAAAATATTCATATTGACATTTAGTTTCTGTTAAACAAAAATCATTTTAACAAAGGCCAAACGCTAAACGCATAACTTTAACGTGTAACATTTTTGTATTTTGTTTTGCTATATCATGTATCAATAAACTAAATCTAACTTTATGTTTGGTTTTGTTTGATTACTACACAAAACTAGAGTTTCATCTCAGATATTTATCTTCAATAATAGTTGTTTTAAATGTACAAAAAATTGATCATAACTTTAAAAAAAAAAATTAAATATTTAAAAGCTGAATGTAAACAATCTAGGAAAAGGAAATGAATGAAAGTCCTTTTGTAATGAAAAATGCGTAAGGTAAAACAGTAGTCGTCAAACATGGCCTAATTTTTCAAAGATCCAAAAGAGTCAATTATAGTGTGATGACAAAATGAAATGTACGGTCAAACATTCCATTGATTGACTAGTCTTCCATGGAAATGCAAGGGACCAAAGATTAATTTAATAATCGCACGAATGCGTGGAATTAATAATTTTATAATGATTTTGAACATGTTTCATGCAATGCTTTATACAAAAGAATCCATAACGACCTTGTTTTACTATAAAAGTTTTAATTTCTATGTCTCTTTTTTTATTTTTTAATCATAAATATGTATGAGATTTGATTGGTAAACAACAACCTAAACTTCTTGTTTATTTGCAGCTTATTATTTTCTGTGTGAATTTAACTCAAAAGTTTATAAAATAAGAGTCAAGCAGCAATTTCAGTTTCACGGTTATAATAAAAAATAATATTATTTTTAAAATGTTTTTTTTATTACCTACGTGATAAAAGTAAATATGAACAAAAATGATTCCCCATTTATTGGATGCATACTTTTCGCTTCTAATAAGACATTAAATTAAATGCATGTACTGATATGGATTATTTTCTACCAAACAATAACGAAAGAGGTAAAATATTAAATTACTCTATAAAATTAGTATTATTAAATATTAATCTTTGCTTTTGATAATTATTAAATAAATTGATTTTTAAGATTATGAAAAATATTTGTATGTTTAACTTTTGTAGTTATTAATTAATTTAATCTTTAAGTTTGGTGCTGATTAAGTTTATATATATAGCTCTTTAGTTAGGATTCAAATTAATTGATGATAAACAAATTTAGATATTAAATTTTACTATTTTTTATAATATAAAATATTAACTGAAAAATGGAGATGCCATGAAAATTGCTTCTTTGCTTTCGATTTGAAGTGTTTGTGCTATTTCCATGATTTTAGAAAAAAAAAATATTGCTAAGAATTAATTGATCTTATATGATTTTCTGTTTATTTACATTTTAAACATGCTAACTCTCATTAATAATTATCCTTTTTTTTTCTTAATAATAAAATGGATATATGTTGTACTGATGTAGTATTATTTTATAATGATACACGTGCTTAATTAGTATATGTAATCATGTATACATGTATGATTAGATATAATTTCAATATTTTATCCATGAATTATTTATAATGCATCACGGTTTACCATCATCTTTGAATTTTCTCCCCTTAACTTTTCTACGGTAAAATGGTAGAAATTCCCGTTAAGTTTAAAGTTAAATCAACCTTTTAGTTTCAACTTTTTAAATTACGGTCAAATTTATTATTAAAATTTTAAAATTTCATTGGTTTTGTTACTTTTTGGTGAAATTTTATTTTCAAATTTTACTGCATGACACAAGCTATTTGTTAATATAAAATTTTGATTATATATATAACACGTGAGATTAAGACCTTGGTCAGAGTTGATCCTATGAAGTCCTTGCTTAGAATCTACGTTCAGCAATCTTTATTTGTTTAAAATTTTTAAAAATTAAAAAAGTATGAGAAAAATATTAAATTAAAAGTGAGAATATAATTTTTAATAAATTTTAGTTAAAAAAAAAGCATGTTACAAACAGTGTGTAGCATTAGTCTTCAAAGATGAACATCTTTTTACTCCATAAAAAAGTATAGAAAAAGGAAATGGTTATTACATATTATCATCAAACGGTTGTGCAATCCCATAGTAATGGGAAGAAAATAACACATTTCATATACATTGCCTGTTATTATTGCCACCTATTCATGTCAATAGAAAACTGCCACACATTTGAGCCATCCAGCTCCAAAGCCGCTAAAGAGCCATCTTTACTCCGCTTAGCAGCCACTACAGACGGCGAAGGGCGAGACAAACCAACATCTGGTGAACGCCTCTTCAGTGTAATCCTAACTGGCTCGGCTTGATCGGACCCAACCAAATGAGGAAAATTCAGCTTGGCTTTCGAGCCGCGCATTTTAAACGCGGCTCTATCATAAGCCAATGCTGCATCTTCAGCCGTTTCATAAGTTCCAAGCCACACTCTCACGCCGTTCCTCTTAGGATCCCTTATCTCAGCCGCGTACTTACCCCACGGCCTCCTCCGCACGCCCCGGTAACTCACCCCTTTCCTTGGCTGCACGTGAGTCTCACGCTCCGCCACAGTAACACTATTTTCACTCTCATTTTCCACTTTCACCCCACTGTCACTGGCGGGGAACCATCCCTTGGTGGCGGCTTCGCGCAAAACGCCGTAGATTACCATATCATCAGCGTCGTCCTCCTTCAACGGCAGCTCGGCCCAATTCTCCGCCAAGAAAATGTTGCGGTAGCTGGAACTGCGGCAGAACTCCACCGCGGGTGTCGGTGCCGGAACATCCTGAAACGACATCGGTTCACTGGTGCCAAAAACATGAGCATTCATCGTTACGCACAGGTTTGATGTTTGGTTAGGTTTTTCCGTAGGTTGTGGTTTGTGACCTGTGTGTGTGGCGTCTATATTTGTTAGATTGCTTTATATAATAAAATGTGATCATTACATAAGTATAATAATAACAGTGACAATAATAATAATGATATTCAATTGTGGCATTGATTCTTGGTGGTTCATGGAACGTTCTTAATTCACCATGTGGATGGTTTGTGTCACGTGCTAAAATGCTTTTTGATTTTTAAACGAAAAAGGGTTGAAGAATAATGGTTGGGTTGTAATTTTATTTATTTATTTATTGGGTGAAGGGTTGGGTTGTATTCCTTCAGATTTTGAAAATGACGAACGTCACGTCGTTTTATTTTTTAAAGGAAAGAATGTCTCTTAAACTTGTATTCTTCAGACAAAGTGGGCCTACGTTTGCGTAATTGCATTACGTGCTTGTTTTGTTTCTTTGTTTCTCAAATTAAAATCAATTCTCAAATCACTGTGAAAACCAGTTATGTACGATTTTCCACCAAATTTTCAAGAAGGAATCAATTTTGTGACTTTTATGAATTGCTTCTGTGATATGCTAATATTTTCCACCAAATTAATGTCACAGTGCAGTAATTTTGTCTGAACCGAAAACATTTATAGGATGATATGCTAATATTTAGTGTATATATATATATATATATAAAGTTGGTATGCATTTGTGTCATGCCCGAATGTTACTATATATGATATGATGTGGTTTTATATGTAATTAGATGTTAGATTGAGGAAGATATTAATAGAATATAATATCATATATTCCATCAATACTACACAGTATTATAATATATATGGACGGAATTGCTTTATACAGTATTATAATGGTAGCATGAGCTTGTTTAAACAGATTTTCAAAAGGGAAAGGTTCCATTTTCTGAAAGAATAATAAGGTAAAATGGTCAAACATTATTATTCTTTCAAACGTAACAAAAGGGCAAAAGCCAAAAAGTATTGATTGATAAATTACAGGCGTAGCAGAAGCACCCATGCCTTTAGTTGAGCTACAAATATACTATTCCTTGTTCCCACCTCCATCTTATGCATTACAAAAATAATAGCACCTCTAGAAAAACCTTCATAGGGTGAAAATGGGTTAAAATGAGATGTCAAACAATAATATCTCATAAATTTATAATGACTGAAGTTAACTGATGTGTTTGATATAAGTTATTTTTAAGGCTTAAATTGATTTTTTAAATTTTGATATTGCAAAAAGTTTTATTAAAAATTTAGTTTATAGAAAATTATTTTTAAATATTATATTTAAAATAATTAATAGTGTATAGATTTGAAGAAGGAAGAAATAAAAAAAGTATTATAAAAAAAAATTTTATGAATTTTTTTTATTATAGTAATATGTAATTATCTTAATGTACGTAGTTGTGTGTTAAATGAAGTTTTATAATTTTATTAATTAAAAATTATAAAATATATAATTGAGTTACTTAAATTTAATTTTTTTTTTTTTATGAATTCTATCTACGATATATTATTTTTTATTTTATTTGAGATTTATTTACTAGTGTATATACTTGACATTGATTTTGAGGGTTTTTTTTTCGAGAAAAAAATTGTAAACTAATTTATACGTGAAAAATTATTTTCCAAATGATCTTTGCTACTTTAATGGGCTTTATAACACAGCTACTGTTACTCAAAACATCAATGTCTTCCATCGCCATAAATGAACTTAAGACTAGCAAAATAACCTTTCGAATTGGCAATTGTGTAGTTTAAACAATTATAAAACTAATTATTTTAGTATTTCTTTTTATCTAATTATTTTAGTATTTAAAATGATAGATATCTATCTATTTAATTTCTAAAACAACAACCCTCAAATCTACTGTTATGTATTGTGTTTTACTTTGGACCTTCGAGTCCCTTTTATCCAAAATAAAATTAATTTTAATTTAAAATGAGTTGCTTGTTATAATATTTGAAAATTTGAAAAAAAAATATTTCGTACTCTTTTTAAATTAAAAAAAGTTACAATTTCTTTAATATTTTAAAGATTAAAATATATTTACATTTTTTAAATAAATTACTATTATTTATATACATATTTAATATAAAATTAACTATAATAATTATTTCAAAATATAAAATATTTCTTTCATTTACAAGACACAATAAAAATTACTTAAAAATTATTAGTGTTGCTAAGACAGCGTCAATTCAACTAACCACACGTCCACACCCTCCACCTGTTTTGATAATAACCAGCCCCATAACAGCGATTTGGTTTATTTGAAGAGTGTTATTAATTGATTAAAGAATCACTGAATATTTTTTATAATAAATTATATTAATAATATTTTGTAATATTTGTTAGCATTTACCCTTTTATAATAATTTCACTCATCACTCATGTCACATTGATTGAAGCAATATGGACTTGTTGAAATTCTCACTCGTGATTTATGAGTATTGGTGATCCAAGAGAATTTTACGCATTAAGTTTGAATACAAAATCTTTATAATAAAGGTGAGAGAGATAAAACAAAAATCGATATTTATTTTATTAATTTAAATTAGCGCTATGTTTATTTGTCTAATTTTTATATTCTATTTGATTACTTTATTAATTTTGTGATATTTTATTGGTTTTTTAATCTATTATAAAACGAGTTAACAATTCATTAATTATATTTAAACTCTTTAAGAATCAATTATTTGTGTCAATGAAAAGTAAGTAATAGAAACAAGCCATTGCCACCTCAAGTTTCAATGCCATTCCATATACTTCATGGAAGCATGGCACAGACTATTCATGCACGGAATAATCAAACAACAGACAAGGCTGTTTCAAGATCTAGAGACTAAAGGAGAGAGACAAGGAAGACGACCCACCTAACATAAATGTAGTACTAAAACAACTTCAAAACAATTTAAAAATTACAATAAAAATAAATTGTTTTATGATAAAAGACCTTTTCTTTAAAATTTATTTTATATAATTATAATCATTTAAAGAATATTATACATATATATATATATATATATATATATATATATATATACTTCTAATTATTACTTATCAACTAATAATTTTAATTTTTATGAAATATTAATAACTAATAATACTTTAAAATATCAGTTTTTGTATATTTTGTTCAATGGAAATTAAACATTGATAGTATAATTTTATTTTACTTATGTATTTTTATTTGTATATTTAATCATAATTTGTAAAATAAAATAGTTTAAGTCGATGTTGAAAAATATGAAATCAATTACATAAACGACAAAGTAAAAAATTCTTATGATTGAAATTAAATAATTAAAAAATAATTTAAAATATCTTTTAAAAGTTAAAATAAACATATTTAAATTATTTCTAAAGACGGATATTAATAGAATTGTAATTTAATAAAACCGGATGGAAAACTAAAAAAATAAGGATACAAGTAACAACATCTACTATGCAAATACGAAGTAGAGTCAAAGAATACCATGCTCTTACACGAAAAGAAATATTATACAATATTTAATTTTAAATAGTGTTAAAAAGACAACATAAGAATAATATACAGTTTGTCTAAATTTACCTACGAGATAAATAATTCTATCCTAAACTCATCAATAAGATATTATTTATAAGAAAATTAATATAATATTTTAATTCCATTGATTTACTTAAAATAAATAAAATTATATATTCTTGAAGTATACTGATAGATAGATATATATATATATATATAGAGAGAGAGAGAGAAACAAAACCACCTATCCCACTCGCAGGGGTATAAATACAACGCATGATTTATTCTTCAAGCCCACAGATTCATTTCAAAAACTGCATACCTAACTCAAGACGAAAGGAAAAAGAACACAGTACAATCATCACTATCTTCCAAACCATGACTACTCATTTTTCTTCATTGGAATATGCTCAAGTTCAATCGTACCAGGTTGTGCATGAACATGATTCCCACGGCCCCGTGAATGTTTCCGATGACCACAACACCTTTTATTCTTCATCGTACAATCCGATTCCAAGCCCTACTCGTAATGATGACGCGACAACATGCAAAAGGAAAGCGCGTGAGATGAACGCGCCACCAAACTGGACGCACTACAGGGGCGTGAGGCGGAGGCCTTGGGGGAAGTTCGCAGCTGAGATATGGGATCCAAAGAAGAAGCGTGGAAGGGTGTGGCTTGGGACATATGACACTGAAGAGGATGCAGGTTTGGCTTATGATAGAGCTGCTTTTAAAATGAGAGGTAGTAAGGCCAAGTTAAATTTTCCACACCTCATTGGATCCCACGCGCCGCCAGAGACGGCGAGAGTGGCTGCGGCTTCGGAGACAAACTCGCCGGAGCCTTGTCTGCCTGTGTCGGAGGATAGTTCACGGCCACAGGGTTCAAATAAGAGAAGGAACCTAGCTGATTTGCTTAATAGGTTAGCCAAGAATAGAACCAAAGTGTGTGTTTGAAATGTGAAAAATAAAGTTGATCAAAGCTTGAATCAATTGATGTATGCCAAACAGAACCCAAAAAAGTCTTTTTTTTTATTGATGGCCATTAATTCTAATTTTTTTAAAGATTTTTCCCTGAAATATTTGTATGATTTTATTTACCAAATAAGAAAGGTTCAATGTGAGTCGCTTCATTTGTCATTGATGAACCAGATGAGTTATTCCAGCTGTTAATGTTTTAGTTCAAATTAGCTCAATACCATATTTGGGTAATTTTTGTATATTCTCTCAATTTTTTGGTTTGAGCAAATAGGTGAAATGAATCGCCAAAACTTCAATCATGCACTTAACTGTGAACTCCACTTATTTGAACTTCACATCGGTGAGGTTAGAATGTGATTGTCATTGAAGTAGATGTTTTACCTTTTTCCCACTACTAATTTTTGTACAAATAATTGAATAAGTTATTGCCAATTTTTTTAATCTATTTCTGTAAAAAAAAAAAATTGAGATGTTAAAAAGAAACAACAAGTGGAAATCTGCTAGGTTAATATTTTAGATCATTGATCGCATAAACATCAAAAGATAAAATTCGTAAACTAAATAGTGGTTCGTCAAGGTTGTGTTGTAATGGAAGGATTTGCTTAATTGCTGCCTAGGATCTGGAAGTTAATTAGTTTCAGTAGTTATACATAGAATATGTTTGTCAAGTCATTTTGGTTTACTTATAATTTATTTGATTAGTTCATAAACATGTTTAATTAAAATAAAAGTAAATTCGTCTAAAACAAACACCTTGAAGCAAAGTTCTAAACGAATAAAAATAATTTTGCACCATGAACAGATTTTTGGGCACTAAAATTCTATAGAAAAGTGAAGTTTGGCATGAAAGAAGTGAGAAGGAGACGTGCATCTTCAGTAAATTTCATATGAATAACTTTTACATGATTATCATAGCAAAAGAGAGATAATATAAGAAATTAAGAGTGTGAAAAAGACATTATTTTTTAAGAAAATTATTAATCAACCATTCATATTGCACTATGTTAATAAATTTTATAATTAAAAAAAAAAAAAAGTTGACATGTATTACGATGTAAATTTTTTATACTACATGATCCTAAACACTCCAAAATTACTCATTCACTTTCTTAAGCTTTTTAACACCTTTTAATGCTTTTGCATGCATTGTGTAGTAATTTCTAAAATTAGATTGATCATTCAATCGGTGAAGACTATTATTTTTTAAAACAAATTAGATTAATTATCTGCACAGTTGACTACTTTTCAATCCAAATGATTGAATTGATCATTCTGATATAATTTTAACAACTACGGTTTAGTGTTCTTTTAATTAATTTGCATAGTATGCTGTATTAAGTTTAATTTTTCAAAATAACATAAATTGTATGAAGCTGTAATTTTATTTTATTTTTTTGGCAAATATTTCTGTATCTGTTTAAATATTTTTTTAGTTGAGTCATAAATATTAAACACAAGTTATATAATACTCTTTTTACATTATTTATATAAAGTCGTATATATATCACATATAATTAGTGAAATATACTCATATATTACATGAAAAAGAAGCCCTATTAAACGATCACTCATTGCCACAACTTGCATTAAGGGCCTGTTTGTATCATTGCATGTTTGACCCACACACTAGAGTTAGCATGATTTATAAGGCACATTTATTGAGAGCAAAAAACAATTATTGCTACTGAATCTCTGTTGGGAACATTATAACAAACAACTCCAAGTCATTCTGCAAAAGTCATTCTCCACAACCAAATAAACCTTGCAAAGTTTGAAGTCACAACTTAACAATTCATGTTTGGATTAGTTTGCCGCATGTTCTTCAAGTATTAATTAAGGAATTTTTAACCTACCTATTGATTGCTAATTAAATTGCTTTCTCTAACAATATATAGAACTAATATCAGCATTGCGGTGAATTAATAAGTTCATCTCTACTCCATGGACTTGATGTGTGAACACACCATCTTCAATATCTCATGTTTTACCAAGTTAAAGACTACACTTTTGATAGCCAATCTTCTCTCACTCTGAAGGCTTATACAAATGCTCAATACAAAAGAAATATTATTGCAAAATTACTAAGTGTTAAGATAGCCTTTATAGATATAGCTTTTGTTTAATAAAAAATAAATTATTAGTATAATTTTAAAGATTTATACTAATAATTTTGTTTTTAAATTTTTAAAAACTAAAAACCTTTTTTTAAATAAAAATAAAATTTATATTAATAAAGATAATTTTAACACTTTAATAAATTTTATTAATAAATAATTTTATTTTTCAGTGATTATGGCCTAATTATTTATATCAATAGCAAAAATTCTAAAATCATGTTTGTCTTTAGAATTATTTAATACAGTTGAAACTTGAATTTTTGAGATTACAAATTAAATCAAAAATAATTTTTAGTTTGTCTTTTAATAGTTTTAGGAAATGAAAAATATTATTTGTTAATAATTTTTAAAGATTATATTGACATGTATCTCGATAATTTAGAAACTATACAATGATTGGTTTTATAATTTTCAAAACTAAAATGATTTATTTATTTTAAAGATTAAAATGTTTGATCGAATTTTATTTTATTTTTATAATTTCAGGCGCTAAATTGAAATTATAGTTTCGATAATTAAAATGACGTATTAATTGAAAATTTAGACGTTAAAAAAAGAAACAAATTAATTGTGGGTTTTATTGAAGAATAATTTCTCCTATTAGAATCTATAACATATATCTTATATAAACGAATGCTTATAAGTAATAATTATCTTACTACATTAATTTTATTTTAGGATTATTAATTATATTTTCATACCTAATTTTTTTACATTCTTTATTCATTCTTTTTTGTTATCATATTTTTTTCGTCATTTACTTTTCATTTCCATTTCACATCAGATAATAGCAATGACTGATACAGAGCAGAACCAGCTGGAGGTATTGTCACCACAAGGACAATACCAGTGGAAGCTTTATAAAATAAACAAATGTTAATCACCTAATAGATTACGAAATTCAAATTAATTTTATTATTTAAAAATGTTATTAATTTTTTTTTACATTTTAAAATTCATTTTAGTATTTTTTAATAAAAATATTTATATTTAATTTTAAAAAAACTGGCTGATCCACCGTTTCGATAGCCTTTAAATAAGATGATTTGATACTAGGCTATAAAAAGTTATTAAAATTCTTATAATTTTATATTAAAAAATTATTTTTTCGATCTTTAAGAAAGTAAAATGATAAATTAAAATAATATAATTAATTTTGTAATATAATTTTATTCATTAGTAAAATTAATTCATTTAAGTTGTGTTGAAAAAAGAAGTTATAAAAATAACTTAATACTCTTTTAAATATGTTTAGCTTGTTTTAATTAATTCCGTGATTATACTACCGCAAAGTTTTATATACAAAGAGCTTCTTAAATGAATATTAAATTTTTTTAGTATTTATCGAAATACAAACATAAATTTTTTGAAATATTGTTGATCTTCAATAAAGTATTATTAATTTGTCTTTAAAAAATTATTTAATATTATTAAAAATAATTAGTTAATTTTAATTTAATATCTTATAATTCTTCAATGATATTATTTTTGTAATATAATATTTATTATTTTAAAAATGTAATATGTAGATAAGCAAAGATATTATTAATTTTCAAAATTTTAACATAACTACACGTGCATAATTTTAAATTATTAAAAAATATTATAAAATGGCAATAAAGAAGAGTAAAAGCTACGAAAAGAGAATTAGTTAAAAAAATAATATGAGAAACAAGTTTTAAAAAATCGTCAAGTTATACAGAAAGCGAGAATATTGGGAAGATTCTTCTTGCTTTCAGCATCAGCATGCGAGAAACGTACGTGTTCATCTTCCAGTGATTGGGAATCTTTGGTTTTACGCGAAAAAAAAAATGAGGGAACAATTTTCCTTTTTTATGTATGATTTGGACTTGGATTACTAGAATTGGGAAGAAAAGAAATGGCGTGCAAGATATAAATTTAAAAATGAAAGAATTGGTTTGTTAACTTTCTCATTCCATATTACATATGTTATATATATACAAAGAAATCACGCTATAATTTAGTGCTACAAGATTGTTGATCAAATCATGAAAAAATATACATAAAAAATACATGTGTTAAATAAAAAATGATTTACATATTTTAATACACCTCTGTAGTCAAAACGAGAAGCAAAAGAACATTAAGGCTATCCCGAAAATTATCAAATAGTTGCAGCAAAAGTCCCTTACTAAATATATCAGCAATCTAATAACGCGAAGGGATACAAAGAACATGAACCTGGCCACGAAAGACTTTTTCACGTACAAAATGTATATCCATTTTAATATGTTTTGTGCGTTAATGTTGAATGGAGTTGTCTGAAAGATACACTGAACTGACATTTTCACAATAAACCAAAATAGCTTTTACAAAGGGACAATGGAGCTCTAAGAGTAAGTTTCAAATCCAACAAGACTCAGATACTGTAACGTCCCAATTTTGTAATGTTGATAAATTATATATATATATATATATATATATATATATATATTTATATAAATATATGTATATGACCTTATTATGATATGAGTTTGTGGCTGGAATTAGACTGAAAGAAAATAGGCTAAGTTCTGGTGCAGAGCATTCTCACTGTAGAGAGAGGACCCTGGGTAAAAGGCATGCATCTATAGCGAGAATATCTTGTTGTAGCGACATAGCGATATTTTGGAGCATATTTCTGGGAGCAGTCTCGCTATAGCGAGATTCTGCAAAAACCAGAGTGCAGTTTTCTCTGAGTTTTTCGCTATAGCGAGAAGGCGTGTCGCTACAGCGAGGTCCAATCGCTGCAACGAGAATATCTCGCTATAGGGAGAGTGTCGCGACCAGGGGGGTTTGGGGTTTGAGAATTCATTTCTCAAAATCCCTTCGATTCTCTTGACCAAAAACTCTTTTCCA